GAGGCGCTGCCCGAGCGCTCGACGGGGCTCAGCCGCCGGCAGAAACTCGGGTCACTAACGGGTTTCGGGAAAAAAGCCTCGTTTGGGTGTTTTAAGGGCCAAATGTGAGGAAAACAGGTTCCCTTCTAGCGCCCGTGTGCACCGGCATGCACTCGGAAGCCTTATACAGCATGGGGCGTGCTGCAGGGAGCGGCAGACTTTGGGAGAACTTCACCCAAGTTACGCTAAGCGTAGGTCTCCAACCAGGCTATTATGCAAAGATCTTCCCCAACAACTGCTGAGTGATAGCGAAATTGTTTTGGATTATGGGATTCTAGCGCTATGACTTCACCGGATTCCTAGGTGTACCCAGGTGAATAAAGTGTGCACGGATTTGTTAGTCGCTTCCGTTAATGACAGTTTTAAAACCTATGGCAGTAAGCCACAACTCACAACGGGAAACAGAAAAAGACCAAAATTAAGCTCATCCTGGAAATGTCACCTTGCATGGAGTTTTTAAGTACAGGACTTAAAGAAACATCAGAAATTTTAACATCTTGCAGCCAATGGGGTTTTTGGTAAGAGTCACTCGTTCTCCAACTCACAGAAATACCAGAAGTAGTAAAGCTCACAAGAAGGGGAACTGGCAGCCCTTCCAAGTGCACTCAGAGACAATTGCTATTTAACTGCCTCTTTTCGAAAACATTCTCCAATATTCAGCCATGCAAGCAGATTTTACGAGGAGAAAGGGACTCTGTTCTACCATTACAATGCTGCTCAGTCGGCACTGTTCATACTAAGATACCCAAGGAGGAAAACCCCTCCTCTTCTTTCCACTCCCTACTCCCCAGAAATACATGAAAAGATTGAAAACAAACAAACAAAATCAAAGTCTCTGTAAAATAAAGCCCTCAGAGGTTAGGAACGGAGAGGGAAGTTTTTACCACCACCCGCTCAGTCCTTGCACCTAGCCCAACAGTCAGAGAAGTAAATTCTGTCATTGCCAAAACAGGTGAACATGAAATGGAAAATCCTGTTGGAAAAGGAAAGTGCAGAGTAAAGACAAGGCCTTTGGGAAAGGGAGCAAGAACCATTGGCCAGCACAGCGACCAGTAATCCAGGAAACAGCTCTGCCACTGATTTATCGTGGCTTCAAGCAAAGTCGCATCAGCCCTACCCTTCAGTACTCCTGACTGTTAAACTGCAACGTTGCTTACCCCTTTCACAGCGGCGTTACCAGCCTTCAGTTGTCACAGCAT